CGGAAATGCGCACGGGCTCATGCGGGGAGTGCGGAGAATGGGTCCAAGATTGTGTGAGTCTCCGCGAAAATGCGTGAGACTTGGTGAGGTTATGTGTAAGCAGACATAACACTCTCGTTTGTTGTCATCGCTCCAGTTCGCTGGCCTTCTTGGTATAGTTAGCGAGCCGATGGATTCTGTGACACCGTTTAGTAGATGTTTGTAACCACGCGCTAGAGTTCGTTTTCTCACTCCTAATAGCAGCGTCTCGCTCTCCCTCCTCTCATTCTTTCTCATTCTCATCTCTCTCCCTCTCCCTTTCTCATCTCTCTCTCTCCTCTCTCTCTCTCTCTCCTCTCCTCTAATTCTCTTGCTCATTCTCTCACTCTTCTCATTCTCTCTCTCTCTCTCTCATCTCTCTCTCTCTCTCCTCTCTCTCCCTCTCTCATTCTCTCTCTCTATCTCATTCTCTCTCTCTCTCTCTCTCTCTCTCTCTCTCTCTCTCTCTCTCTCTCTCTCATTCTCTCTATCTCAATATGCACTGCACACACACACAAGCGCGCGCGCACGCACACACCCATGCACACACACGCACGCACGCACGCACGCACGCACGCACGCACGCACGCACGCACGCACGCACAACACACACATGCACTCACACACGCACGCACGCACGCACGCACACACATGCACACACACAAACACAAACACACACGCGCGCGTGCGCTCGCACACTCACATTTTAACAGCACGGCGCACACTTGCGCACACGCCCAAACAGTACGACGCACGCTCGCACGCACTTTTTTAACAGCACGCACGCACGCACCCACATTTTAACAGCTCAGCGATCGCACACGCGCTCACTCGCTGCGGATGAAGCAATGCATGCACTTGTGTGCCCTGCATCCAGACAGCAGGCCACGCTGCGACGCATTCCGTATTGTGACGCATATCGTACTGTGACGCAGGCCACGCTGCGACGCATTCCGTATTGTGACGCATATCGTACTGTGACGCAGGTCACGCTGCGACGCATTCCGTATTGTGACGCATATCGTACTGTGACGCAGGTCACGCGGCGACGCATTCCGTATTGTGACGCACGCCGTATTGTGACGCAGGTCACGTTGTGACGCATGACATACTGTGACGCATGCCGTACCGTAAGCGACACATAGTCTGACGCAACGTCATGAACAACGTCAGCATATTCACCGCCGCCGACAACGGCACGCGTCCGCCGGTCGCCGCCGCTGCCGACGACGACGTCGACGTCGGCGGCGGGACGCAGTTCTCTCCGGGCACGGTTCCCGTCGCCGTCGTCACCGTCGTCATGAACGCGCTCGTCATTGTCGCTATCGCGCGTACGCCGCGCCTGCAGACGAACACGCACCGCCTGCTCGCAAACCTCGCCGCAGCCGACGCCGCTTTCCCACTGTTCCTGATCGGCGTGTCTCTCGGCGACGTCGTCGTCGGCCGCCACCGCTACGGCAAGTTCGGCTGCTTGCTGGCGATGGCGGCCAGCATTCTGATTATGATGTCGAGTCTTGCCGGCCTGCTGCTCATCACTGCCGACCGCTACGTCGCCGTCACGCGGGCCGTCCGCTACAAGACGCTGGTGACGGTCGGCAGGACGCACGCTGTCGTCGCTCTCGCCTGGTCGTACAGCGTCGCCGCCGCAGCGACGTCCTTCGGCGTCGCGATGCTACACTGGCGCGGCGAATTCGAAGCGCATTGCTCCGTGGATTGGATTCTGCCGGCCGGCTTCGTGTATTTCCTCGTCGGCAACTACGTCGTCGTGTTGCTCGTCATGGTGTACACCTACGTCGCCATACTGCGTCTGAGTCTGCGTCGGCTCGCGCGCGTCGCCCATCAGCACGCGGGAAGCGCGACCGTGGCGCCATCTCCGTTCAAATCGAGAACGACGCGGATGACGGTGATGATCATCAGTCTGGCGGTGACGTGCATGTTACCGCACATGAATCGCCACCATGTGTAAACACGCGCGCGGCTCGNGGTCAGCGATCGACAGCGCGCTCACTTTGTTTCGGACCGGTGAGCAAGCATCAGCCTCGTGTGCCTGCATCAGAGAGTCAGCGCCACGCTGCGACGCATTCCGTATTGTGAGTCATATATCGTACGGTGACGCAGAGTCACGCTGCGACGCATTGTCTCGTATTGTGACCGCATATGCGTAATGTGATCTCAGTCAGGTCAGCATGCTTTCTCGTATTGTGACCGCACTTCTGTCTGTTGCGTCTTGTCCAGCTCTTGATAACGCTTGTGTATTGTGTCAGCGCTTATTGTGCCACTTAGTCACGGTTGACTGCCATAACGCAGGAATTACCTGTTACTGTATGCGTAGCCGTAATGTCGACACATGTCGGATCGCAACCATGAACAATCGTTCACATAGTCACCGCAGCCGACAACGGACGCGATCCGACCGGTCGCACGTGCCGCTGCCGACCGAGACGACTTCGACGTCGTGCGCGGGGGACCATTTTTCCCCTTGGACACGGTTCCGCGTCGCCGTCTGTCACCGTCGTCGCATTTATGGAACCCCGTCGGCCTGTCCGTTTTTGTTCGCTATCGCGCGTTACGCCGCGTGCATGTACGAACACGCACCGCCTGCTCTGCCAAACCTCGCCGCAGCCGACGCCGCCTTCAGCACTTTCTTGATCGTCTTGTCTTCTCGGACGTAGTATCGTGGCGAGTGGCGGGGGGGCCGATTAAGGCAGCCGCACCCGAGCTACTGCATATTCGGTCTGCTTGGCTGGCGATGTTGCGGTCCAGCATTATCTGATTCGATTGATTGTTTCCGAGATTTGTCCGGTCCTGTTCATGCACTCACTGCACCGCGACGTCGCTCGTCACGAGGCGCCGTTCGTTACAAGACACAATGCCGTCGCGGCCGCCAGCATGACGAACCTGTTATTCGCTCTTCGCTTTGGTTACAGCTACAGCGTCGCTCGCCGCAGCGAGGGTTCGGTCGCGTCGCATGCTACACTGGTCGCGGCGAATTCGAACGTCGCATCTGCTCTGTGGATTGGATTCTGTCGCTTTTCGGCTTCGTGTTATTTCTCTCGTCCGGAACTAATGTACGTGTTGCTCTCGATGGTGGTTACACCTACGTAGCATATGGTCTGAGTCTGCGTACTTCTGGACCCCCCGCTTGAGCTAGTTCGGGCGGGGCCCCCCGGTCCGGCTTTCCCTTACTTGCCCTGTTATCTGATCGGCTCGCAGTGCGTCGATCGCCTCGCACGCGGAGGCGCTGACTGGCGCATTCTCCGTTCAAATCCGAGAACGACGCGCGAATGACGGTGATGATCATCAGCCTCTGCGGTCGCGCTGCATCGCTCACGCACATGGTAAATGGTTGTGCGATACCGCGCGCGGCTCTACAGCGTACGGCGCGCTGCGGCGGATCAGGGTAGTGTTCTTGCTGAACTCAACTCTGCTCGCTCAACCCTAATCTACGTTGGCAGAACCGCCCAATTTCAGCGCGCGATGCCTTGCGCTCGTCTGCGGAAATCGTGTCGCGAAACGTCGGCAAGCCGGCCGACGACGCATCAGCGACGCGAGCCGACGCTAAGGGTCGTGCGGACGAAGGGTCGACGCATCATCCGATGCCGCAGCGACGCCGGAAGCTGACAAGGTAGCAAGGGTCGACGCTAGGTCGACGCTAGCGACGGCTAGTCGCACGGCTAGCCTACACCCAGCAGCCTGCACGGGCTTGCTACACCCAGCAAGACCGGACGGTAGCTACACCCAGCAGTCTCTGCAGGAGTGACACCACGCAGTTCATGCACGTTAGCTAACATCCAGCAGCCCTGCACGGCGAGCTACACCCAGCAGCCCTGCAGTCAACTGTCTACAACGAAAGGAAGGAAGATCTCGATGGCTTCTACCTCCAAAAAGGATTCGTTGAGAATCCCTCGTCGGAGGCTGCTCGACGCGGCGTCGCGCGACTGTCTTCGCGGCGACTTCGGATGTTATATGAACTATAACTCGTTAAAACGGTTAATTAAACCCCAGGACGTTGGGTTACGGATGATGGCGGTATGGCGTTGATATGGATCGTGTCAAGTGGGCGGCCTTGACTTTCCTTACCATTACACACACTGGACCTAATACGTTTTATTCAAGAGAAGGACAACATGTAATAGAAATGGAATTACATCGCCGTAAGCGAGCGCACGAATATCGCTAATGCTGTTGCGGCAATTTGCGAAGCGTTTCCTGAAGCTACATCCATCAATTTGTGTGGATGCAGCGGTTGGATCACGGTATGTAACAGTGCAGACTAGGACGAGCTTTGTCGGCTGATATTGACAAGTCGTAATTCGTCTTTGGAAAAGTATTCGTTCGGTCGTTGACGATGCGAGTCTATCTCAAACATCTTCACACGTCGCAAATTTCTTCGCACGAACACTAATGCTTGCGAATTTGGCCGAATCGGTTAACCCTCGATCCCGTGGTTGGCGCTGCTGGTTGAGCTGATTGAAAACAATAGGAAGCATTTACATAGGGAAAAAAAGTCAGAGCGTTGCAGGGCGTATGAGCAAGTAAATAATAAAGAGGCCACTAACGACACAATAGATGGGAAAGCAAAAATAACAGCTATATGAACGACATCACGTTGACCGGAGAGCGAGCGATCACGGAAAAGCGATATTGACAGTTGTGTGATTGACAGATGATGTGTTTTTCGTTTTTCCCTGAAGGTGGCGCCTTTGTTTCCGTCGCCACCGACGCCGGGATGTGAAACTCAATACCTTAAGAGCTATTACTGGTAAATTACTGGTAAATGTCTCCGTGGACTGAGGTTTGCAACATTCTATGAATCGCTGGTGTGGGAAGCTAACCTCAGCGCGTCCTCTGTAAGCAGACCTGCCAAGGGTGTTCAACCAGCTTGCTGGAGGTTCAGTGAGATTTTGCTGGAGAATGGGTCATTTGACGGAAGTATAATGCTGGAGGTTCAGAATATTTTTATAAACACGACCAGTTGGATATTTGGACTTTAAATATGTATTTGCAGTACATATATTCTGTTAGACATTACGAAGAAATAGAAGACAAATTAAAGTTTAAGCATAAAAACTATCAATTACTGAGGTGTTAACACACGTGTTTTTTCTTTACGGTAATGCGTGAGAATGCGTAGGGGCTATGCAGGGAGGCTGTGAGAATGGCTGTACAGATGCGTGAGTCTCCCGCGAATGGTGCTAACACACGCCACGCACGGCACGCAGCACAACAAACATGCACTCCAACAGCAGCACGACGTCAGCACACACATGCAAACAACATAACACAAACCACACGTCGCGCAGTCGCCACACTCACATTTTAACGCACGGCGCGACACTTGCGCTACACGACAAACAGTTACGACGCACGCTCGCACGCAACTTTTAACGGCACGCCACGAACGGACCACATTTTTAACAGCTCAGCGTCGCACACGCGTCACTCGCTGACGGAATGAAGTAATGCCAGGCACTCGTGTGCCCTGCATCCAGAGAGCAGGGCACCACGCTGCGACGCATTCCGTATTGTGACGCATATCGTACTGTGACGCAGGTCACGCGGCGACGCATTCCGTATTGTGACGCATATCGTACTGTGACGCAGGTCACGCGGCGACGCATTCCGTATTGTGACGCATATCGTACTGTGACGCAGGTCACGCTGTAACGCATGTCGTATTGTGACGCACGCCGTATTGTGACGCAGGTCACGTTGTGACGCATGACATACTGTGACGCATGCCGTACCGTAAGCGACACATAGTCTGACGCAACGTCATGAACAACGTCAGCATATTCACCGCAGCCGACAACGGCACGCGTTCGCCGGTCGCCGCCGCTGCCGACGACGACGTCGACGTCGGCGGCGGGACGCAGTTCTCCCCGGGCACGTTTCTTATCGCCGTCGTCACCGTCGTCATGAACGCGCTCGTCATTGTCGCTATCGCGCGTACGCCGCGCCTGCAGACGAACACGCACCGCCTGCTCGCAAACCTCGCCGCAGCCGACGCCGCCTTCGCACTGTTCCTGATC